ACAAACAGCAATGTGGTGGATGAAATCCTTTATTGGAATCCTTTACATGCAATATGATAAGAACATGACCGCTCCAACACAGGACAGAGGAGTAGTAGATGCATTTCACATGAACACATTACTGATGACTAAGCATGTGTTGCTGCTGCTCTGTCCTGTCTTAGGCTACGTTCACACTAGCGTTGTGTGCAGGCGGCAGAGAGGCGTTTGGGAAGCGTTTTTACTGCTTCCCAAATGCCTCTGCCAATTCTGCACATTACAGCACATGGTGCTGTTCTAATGGAGTGTTTGCGTCACGGCAAAACGGATGCCTCTGGTCGAGTCAGGAGGCGTTGAAGTCTCCTATTCTAGTCTACAGTGCCGCTCCGCAAACGCCCGGCCGGTGTTTGCGGTGCGGTTGCGACGGGTTTTGCGGAGCGGTAACACCATTCAAACTGCATTACAGGCGTTTGTGGGGCGTTTTTAATGCTCGGCAAATGCCTAGCAACCGCCGCTAAACCGCGCATGAGGTGTTTGCGGAGTGTTTGCCGAGCATTAAAAAACGCTCCGCAAATGCCAGACCAGCGTTTGGCAAGCGTTGGTAAAACAGCCAAGTGTGAACGAGCCCTTAGAGCAGTCATATTCTTATCATATTGCATGTAAAGAATTCCAAGTAAAGGATTTCATCCACCACATTGCTCTTTGTGCGGCCAACCATCCTGTTTTCCATTACATAATGCTACAGGAAAAGATGGGTTCGGAATGCACTTTTTAACAGAGAGGTGCAGATTCAAAGCTGCCATGGACTAAGTAAGTGAGAGATAAGCACACTGAGATTGAGCAGAAAAGACTTTAGAAAAGGCTTCTATTGATTATGAAAAGTGAAATTCTGCCTGAAAGGTGAACTTAGCCTTTCAGGAGGAATATAATGACAAAAGCTGCTCATGCGCCATTAAATGAACACCATTCAGTGTTGCAGTAAGAACCACCTACTGCGACAACCTGAAGAGCAGAAAAGGAAGTCTATGGTATTACAATACAGATACTTAATTGACCTTTGAGGTGACTTGAGATTCCTGAATATTGTTGTAACATACATATATTGTTATATCTCACGCCAGTGAGCCTCACTGATTGCATGGCCGGTCAGATGTGCTGAGAGGCACAGTGCTGGGGAGCCAATCACAGAGGCATAGTGTCGTTTCCTTTTTTTGCACAGAACTTTATTGCAATGTTGTGGTTTGCATCACAACCTGCTGCAATAAAACAAGCACTGCATGCAGTACCTTCAGAGCACAGCACAGCAACTGTAGTGTGAACTGACACTCCTGGAAGCAAGGCATTTTTTCTTCTCGATGCATTGGGGATGTGTTGTAAAAAGTTACCAAATGTAGCATCAAAGTATCTGGTGTGAATGAGTGCTAATAGTGTAAGGAGTAATGATGTCAGCACCATTCATCTGTAAAATTCTCCTGTAAGCCCAGGGTGGCTTAAAGCGGAGATCCACTCACTCTGTAAAAAAATAAAAGTCAGCAGCTACAGTTTTTGTAGCTGCTGACTTTTAAAGAACAGCCACTCACCTGTCCCACGATCCCGCGTTGCCCCCGCCGCAGCCCGTTTCATCGGCCATCCTGTAATCCAGGCGCCGGCATCTTCAGTGTGGGCACCCGGCTGTGACAGCTTGCGGCTTCACAGCCGGGTGCCCACTGCACATGCACAAGAAGCACTGCGCTTCCTGAATGGCCCCGTTGTCTTCTGGGACCTGTAACGTGTCCCACAAGACTTCAGGGAGGGAGGGTAGGAGGACAACTTCCGTTTCCAATCGCCTAGGCCAGGGGTCCTGCAGCCTTTAAACCTTTAAGACATAAAGAGCCACTTGGACCCGTTTCCGAGAGGGAAAAAAAGACTGGGAGCCGCAAAACCATTGCAACATTTAAAACAAATCCGACACTGCATATATTGCAAAAAGCGCTCTGGTCATGAAGGGGGTTTAAGGGCCCAGTAAGCAAAGGGTTAATCAGGGCCACAGTGTATCGTCATAATCACAATCATAGCCTTAGGTCAGTGGTGGGCAACCTTTTCAACTGAGCCAAATCTCGCCAAAACCACGATTAAAATTTATTTTGAGAGCCACATTTTTAAAACTGAAAATACATCCCCCATATATGAGTAATTCATCCCCCATAGTAATTCATCCCCCCCTATAGTAATTCATCCCCCATAGTAATTCATCCCCCCTATAGTAATTCATCCCCCATATAGTAATTCATCCCCCATATAGTAATTCATCCCCCCTATAGTAATTCATTCCCATATTGTGTCAATTCACTTACCTGTACTCCGCGCGTTCCTCTCGCCGTGTTCCCCGCGCAGTTCTGGTCTTCAGGGCGGACTGTGAGAGGAGAGGAGTTCGTCACGCTGCCCCAGCCTACATCCTGAAAGCCAATGTTTGCCATGCTCCGCGGGCCGGATTATAAGGTCCGCCGGGCCGTAGTATTTTGCCCATTGCTAGCTAGCTGCAGAGTCCTGACTTTTGGGGCGGCCGCCCGAGAGGAGGGAGGGGAGCGGGCGCCCGGCACACAGAAGAGCTGCATTAACCTCCCTGGCGGTATGATTCCTTCCGATTTTTTGTGCTGAAAGCGGTACCATTTTTTTTCGCATGGAAATAGTTTTTTATTGTAGGCTGTAATTTTTAGGAAAATTTCCCCACAAATCATTATCACTCAATTCTGCAAGTGGTTCTGATTTACTATCGCTGTTCTCTAGCCGGTCTAAAACCGCTTTTGACCTAAAGGGACGCTTTTTGGACGCCTTGGACTTTTCTAAGTTTCCAGGCAGAAAGAACAGACAAAATGCAGGCAGGGCGCCGGACAAAGCACTAGGGACACAATATGTATGTGAAATGGGATGAAACAGCAATGTTTTACTATTGAAAATTGAAAAAAAAAGACATTTTTTTTAAATTTTTTAAAAATTTCCCGCCGCCGGCGGCGCCCGTACGTCCCGACGTCACGGGGACCGGAACACAGAAGCCGGATGCCGGCATCGGCCGGAGGAGATGGCCGGGGACGCTGCAGGGGGCTGACACATCGCGGGAACGAAGGACAAGGTAAGTGCTGCAGGGACCCCCAGAGCAGCGCCGCATGGTAAGCCCGAGTGTAGCTCGTGGTATAGAAATTCTACCACGAGCTACACTCGGGAAAACCGCCAGGGAGGTTAAAAGAGCCGCGGCTTGCCGACCACTGAGCTACGGCAACCCTATTGCCTGTCACCTCGTGGGCAGTGTGCTCCGGAGCTGCAGCAAAGGTGAAAAAGAGCCGCATGCGGCTCTGGAGCCGCGGGTTGCCGACACCGGCCTAGGCGATCGCAGCAGAAGTGGGAGCGGTACCTGTCAAATTCGGGTACTCGTTCCCCCCGCAAAGGTGCCAATCAATAATGGGGAGTGGGGGACCAATCTTTAAAGCTGAACTTCCCCTTTAACTACTTGCTGCCTGGTCCAGGCAGCAGCTGCAGGCTCAGCAACGTAAATAAACATTGCGAGCTTGCTTCTGCGTTTGGAGCTCACATGCGTCAATTTTGCCAGCAGGTGTCAGCCAATGATTTATGTCTATGACTGGAAAGTGATGAGACTGCGAGGAACAGAGTCATGGACAGGGTGCGTTTTGTAGTTCTAGCTGCATTTATTTATCTTAAAGCCCACCTTCAGGTAAAAAGAACTCTCCTCCCATGTCCTCTTTGCACCCCCGCTCCCTGTTAGAGGGAGCCAGGAACTTTTTCACCTTTTCACAAAAATGAACATCCTACACCCTCTACCCTCCCAATCCTGCTGTACTTCCCTTTGTAGCTGATTAGTGGTCATTGTCTGCACAGCCAGTGCAGCAATCCAAGGATCTGAAAGCCTCCCTCTTCTTCCCCTTCTTTCTTTGTCCAATCGGAATTTCTCTGATCCATCCTGCAAACCCTAATGAAAGATGGGGAAGGAAAGCAGGATTGTTTCTATTTTTTAGGGATTCTTTAATGACTGACAGAGAACCACTGAATTGGTGAAAGGCCAACGTGGTGCCTATATTTAAAAAGGGGTGAAAGTCTTTACAAGTAACTAAAGGCCTGTTAGTTTAAAGTGTTACTAAACCCAAAACAGTAAAATCAGCCTGTATATGCAGTAAAGCATGCTTGTTGTACTCACTGTGGAACCTAAGGGGTTAATCCTCTGCATTGTGTAAAAACGCTGTTTGATCCTGTCTTCTCTGATCCTCCCCTTCTTCCAGTGTCCCCCTCTTATCTCCTCATAAGACATATCATGTGGAGTTACTGTGCACATGCTCAGTTTGGTGTGTATCGTTAGAGATGTTTTTTTTTTTTTCCCCTTTGGGAGAGTGTACGGGATCACCACAGGGCCAATTAGCACTGTCCAGACAGAGGTCAGGGGTTCTGCATCCTCCTAGAGCAAAATTAAAACTCCTCCTATAAGCTTTAACCAGTGCTCGGCTGGACACTGATAGAAGTCATAAGATTTCTCTAACTGCTGATCAGAAAAGGTATTTAGCAGTTTATATTTTCTAAAATAATTGCACTTCCATGTTTTGTGTACTGTGGGAGACCAGATATAGTGAATGCAGGGTCCGGGGAGACCAGATATAGTGAATGCAGGGTCTGGGGAGACCAGATATAGTGAATGCAGGGTCGGGGAGACCAGATATAGTGAATGCAGGGTCCGGGGAGACCAGATATAGTGCAGGGTCCGGGGAGAGAGATATAGTGAATGCAGGGTCCGGGGAGACCAGATATAGTGAATGCAGGGTCTGGGGAGACCAGATATAGTGAATGCAGGGTCCGGGGAGCGGATATAGTGAATGCAGGGTCCGGGGAGATATAGTGAATGCAGGGTCCGGGGAGAGCAGATATAGTGAATGCAGGGTCCGGGGAGAGAGCAGATATAGTGAATGCAGGGTCCGGGGAGACAGATATAGTGAATGCAGGGTCTGGGGAGACCAGATATAGTGAATGCAGGGTCCGGGAGAGCGGATATAGTGAATGCAGGGTCCGGGGAGAGCAGATATAGTGAATGCAGGGTCCGGGGAGAGCAGATATAGTGAATGCAGGGTCCGGGGAGAGCAGATATAGTGAATGCAGGGTCCGGGGAGACCAGATATAGTGAATGCAGGGTCCGGGGAGAGCGGATATAGTGAATGCAGGGTCCGGGGAGACCAGATATAGTGAATGCAGGGTCCGGGGAAACCAGATATAGTGAATGCAGGGTCCGGGGAGACCGATATAGTGAATGCAGGGTCCGGGGAGACCAGATATAGTGAATGCAGGGTCCGGGGAGACCGGATATAGTGAATGCAGGGTCCGGGAAGAGCGGATATAGTGAATGCAGGGTCCTGAGGAGACCTGATATAGTGAATGCAGGGTCCGGGGAGACCAGATATAGTGAATGCAGGGTCCGGGGAGACCGATATAGTGAATGCAGGGTCCGGGAGAGCGGATATAGTGAATGCAGGGTCCGGGGAGACCAGATATAGTGAATGCAGGGTCCGGGGAGACCGGATATAGTGAATGCAGGGTCCGGGAAGAGCGGATATAGTGAATGCAGGGTCCTGGGAGACCAGATATAGTGAATGCAGGGTCCGGGGAGATCAGATATAGTGAATTCAGGGTCTGGGGAGACCATATAGTGAATGCAAGGTCCGGGGAGACCAGATATAGTGAATGCAGGGTCCGGGGAGACCAGATATAGAGAATGCAGGGTCCGGGGAGAGAGGATATAGTGAATGCAGGGTCCAGGGAGACCAGATATAGTGAATGCAGGGACGGGGAGAGCGGATATAGTGAATGCAGGGTCTGGGAGACCAGATATAGTGAATGCAGGGTCCTGGGAGACCAGATATAGTGAATGCAGGGTCTGGGGAGACCAGATATAGTGAATGCAGGGTCCAGGGAGACCAGATATAGTGCAACGTACTGGGTTTTGTAAAACACTGCCAAGTGTGTTTAAATAGTTTAAAAATGCTTTTTTTAAAATAAATCTATTTTGCTTAAAGAAAAAGTCTTGAGCTGAGCTTCAATTTATCTGGCGCTTAGTTAAAGTTCACCCATGAGTATATGTCCACAAAGTGGCAAAGCTGCAGTGATTTCACTACAGAACGAACAGCACTGCCACCCTGCTAAAGGGTTTTGAAAACCAATGGATCTCCTTTCAGGATTGAGAACTAGTAAAATAAAGCTATAGCGAAGACTCAAACAATAACTGCTTTATGTTTTGTGCTGGCAGACTGCTTCATATATGCCTTTTTTTTCTGCAATGACCATATCTTTACTTTGCTAGATGGGGATATAGAGATAAACAGGAAACATTTTAAAAGCTCTGTACACATGATGATACAACATTTTGCTGAAGTGCAAATAAGCAACAACAAAAAAAAAGAAATAGAATGAACAGGCTGCATGTACTCTAATCCTGAAGAGCTCATTGCTTTCCTCTGTGTGGCCCTCTTTCTGCAGTTTCCTCCAACACTTTTCCTGATCTTGTTATATTGTATCATTGTCTGGCACAGTTACAGATAGGCATCAAGTGCTATATAAATGGTGTACAAACTGGCCTAATGGGTAAAATGTACATCTCTTGCCATATTGTTAACCCTTTATCTCCAGCAAGTGTTTTTATATTTTCACTATAAGGAACCGTTTTAAGAATTCTTCTTACATCCGAAGATGCCTATGCAGCACTCTGGCTGTTACTCTGTGGAACATCAGAAAGACATCTCGGGAGATGTGAATAAATAGCGCTTCAAGGGAGGAAGGCCAAACCAACTCAGTTCTCATCATCTTTGCTGCTCTCAAATTAGCACAGTTCTGCCAGTCAGCCTTAGTATGTGCATGTTTTATAAAACATAAATTAAATATGATATTATAAATGGATCCAACAAAACGATCCTGTCGGATTGCCATCCAATTTCCTCTGCTGCATGTCAAACTAAACAAAGTCACTTCCTTTACTGTAAAATTATCGCCACTTTTCCCTTCAATTATTCATAGATTTTAATTGTGCAGAAATCCAAGGCTTGGGTAACTCATGCAACTCGATGAAATGATAAAGCTGATTGATTTTATAGGATGATTAAGAAAAAAAAAAAGATATGAATGGTCTTCTGGGATGCAGGAAAGATAAGGCCCCATGTACACGGGACACTTCTGAACGATGAAAACTGACTGCTGGAAAATGTAGGTTAAAAAACGTCTGTTTAGCTGTGTTTTCATACCACGTTTATCTGTGTTTGCATTTAGAAGCGTTTTTTTTTTAAAGATAAGCACAGGAGAACCTCCCAAATGCCCAGAATGCACTGAAAAGTGGTAAATTATTAACTATTTCAGGGTAATACAGAGAGTAGAAGCAGAGACAGCAGTATGTGTTGAGATTAGCTTAGGTGGGAGTTGCTCATTAACATTTCTTTTGTTTCCAAGGGTGGGAAAGGTGTCTGGTGGAGGGAGTCATTAAGGCCACCTGGCAGAGGGTCTTCATGAGGAATTTGAGGTGGGACTGGTCATTAACATATCTTTTGTTTCCAAGGATGGGAGAGGTCTGAGGTGTGAATTGGTCATTACAATGTTTGACAAGCTTGGTAGGAACATCCTGTGTTCAGTGTTTTGTCCATCTGAGTACCTTAAAAACGCTTTGCATGCATTTTTCATGATAAAAAAAGGCTCTGGACAGCATCAGGAACTGGAAGAGTTAAAAAAAGTTATCAAACGCAGACGCTTATAAATGCGGTTTGCCACGTTTACAAGCGTTGTGCGTTTGAAACACTGATAAAATCGACTGCTGAACACAAGTTTTCTGCGTTCAAATAAACAACTGTAAACTCAAATGCCTGTAAACGAAGACGTGTACATGGACACATAGGAAAACATTAGGGTGAGTTCAGGGGCTGCTGAAAAAAGCACTGAACAGTTCCTGAACATCAGTTTATCAGCTGCAGTGTACATGAGCCCTAACATATACACAGGAGTGACACGAGATAACAAGAATATAAGTACAACTTTATTTCAGAGAAGGAGCGAACCTTTTTGCTGCCAGAGCCCCAAAACATTATATATTTTCTGAAAGCAGACAACCTAGAGAATAAAATAGTGGTAGTTCCAATTTTTAATGTCACACGATATTACTGCAAAAGTCTAGGAAACTCAAAATTTCAGTAAAAAAACACGGTAGTAAACCGCATCCAAAACAAAAAGAAAAAAAAAACAAGGTAAAGGCATAATGTGCTAGTATGTATTGCATACTAGCACATTATGAAGGACTTCCCCTGAAACGAAGCCCTCCAGGGGAGCTCTGTCACGGCTCCCCGGGGCTTCCATCTTCCCCTTGTATTCCTTCCGAGTTTGCAAGCTCTGGCTGGCTGACTGGCCAAGCCGTGATCACGTCACTCCCCGGCCACGGCACAGTGCACTGCTGTTCCCTCAGACCGCATGCGCTGGCTATCAGAAAGGGGTAATATCACCTAAAAGGTTCACGTTTAGGAGATATTAATTTTACCTACATGTACGGTAAGCTTCATTATAAGTTTACCTGTAGGTAAAATTATTAAAGAGTGTACTACCACTTTAAGTGACTTTTAGGGCAATCAAACGTAATAAATTACCCAAATTTTTGGTAAAATATAAAAGACGAGGTTGCACCAAGTAAATAGGTACCCATAATTTTAAATCTTAAATTTGTGTGTACCTGAGAAATGGCGACAAACTTCATTACCCTATATGTTCTATAGGCGACGCTTCAAAAGTCCCCTATAGGTCAGTGTTATGGAGGAGGTCTGGTACTAGAATCATTGCTCTCACTACGGCGTGCACGGCGTAGGTGCCTCTGACGCAAGTGTTTACGTTCGTATATGTGTGTGTGTGTGTGTGTGTGGGGGGGGGGGGGGGGGGGGAATTTTATGTGCTGGGGTGTAACTTTATTTTTTTTTTTGCAAAAAAAGAAAAGATTTTCTTGCCTAACTTTTTTTTATCGATCACATAGGGGACAATGTGATGATTGTTAGGTGACAGGTTCTCTTTAATGAGACATGTAGGGTCTAAAACACCCTGCATTTCTTGAGGAAAGAAAAAACAGAGGGCGCACAGGCCTAGTGCATTACCATAAAAAATGTTTAATAAAAAATAAAGTAGGTGTTGTACTCACAAACGACAATATAGTCAAGGCACATCATAAAGAACAGCTGGGTCAACACCGCGCCGAGTAACAGTCCACTCTGAGGAAGAGGCAAGTCCTCGAAACGCGTCAGCCTTTTGGATGTCTATACTCCCTATTGCGGACTGTTACTTGGCGCGGTGTTGACCCAGCTGTTCTTTATGATGTGCCTTGACTATATTGTCGTTTGTGAGTACAACACCTACTTTATTTTTTATTAAACATTTTTTATGGTAATGCACTAGGCCTGTGCGCCTCTGTTTTTTCTTTCCTCATTCAGTATATTTGGATTTCCCCAGTCCATTTGAGGGCAGCAAGGTGTGCATGTTCCAGGACATTCCTTATGTGGTTGTAGCCTGCATCGAGTCCATCCCCAAGCGCATTTGTGTTTGCTGGTACCCTGCATTTCTTCTCTGGGCTCCGCTCAATGTATTGCAATATTGCAATGCAAATCGCATTGCAATACATTGCTTCTTAGCAGTGCTAGCCAGGGACAGTGACAGGTGACCCACAAATTACGTCATAGATGTTGCTTTGACGTCACAGAAAGAAGGGGAGGCAAGCAGACATGTGTCAGTACCGGAGGTGCGTGGAAGCAATCGGGCGGAAGCACAACTGCCCAACTGCTTCCACCTGACAGGCAGGAGTCTGCCTGTCAATTTTAGACACAATCATGGTGGCTGCAGCCACCGGATTATTTATTATTTAATACAGGTACTTATATAGCGATGTCAATTTATGCGGCACTTTACATATATATTGTACATTCACAAGGAGCGTACAGTCTAAGGTCCCTAACTTACATTCATACATACACACACATATTAGGGCCAATTTAAACAGGAGCCAAATAACTTACCAGCATGTCTTTGGAGTGTGTGAGGAAACCAGAGTACCCGGAAGAAAGCCATGCAGGCACAGGGAGAACATGCAAACTCCAGGCAGGGGGTGCCGTGGTTGGGATTCGAACCAACGACCCTAGCACTGCCAGGCAGAAGTGCTAACCAGTTAGCCACTGTGCTGCCCTATGTAAACCTCCCCTCCCCCCGCTGTCATCTGTAACATCCCTTAAAACTGCTGCTTACACAGATATACACTATAGGGCCAAGAGTTTACAGACATCATACCTTACCTATATTGCCATAAATCAAAATAGAAGCTTGAGCAACATCAATTGAGATTAAAAAAAAACTGTATAGTTTACAAATTTCTGTACTGGGGAGAAAAGCAATTATTTAGGGCTCATATACACTTTTGGTCGCT